GGCTGAACAGGACTACTAAATGGAAGAGGCCTGAATGGCCTCTAGCTTGGTAAGGGTCAGAACAACTTGTATGTGAGCTCCCTGAAATCTGTCCATGTTAAAATTGGATGAACAGAGCAGAAAAATACAATACAACTTTGTTAAAGGTTCTACAGAGCAGGGCTAAGAACTGAACCTGTGTGTCTTGAGCCAAGCTTTGCCCCTATGACAGGACATTGATGGCCAGAATCTGGCCATCAGCAGGTTATAGGCAGGGACAAGTAACTCTGCAACTATTTGCAAGTCGGTAATAGCCTAAGTAGGATCCATGCAGCTGTTTTTCTTATGATGAAGGCACTGCACGTAACTGCAGGCACAGGATAGGGTTGTGCTGTGTCTCTACAACCTATTTCTTTTCATATTTTATGGAATATAGTGGGATTTTCAGTTCTCCACTGGTACACAACACTCTCTCAGGTACTTACTTCATCCCCCACACAGTAGTGCCCAGCAGTGTGCTGCAGAATCTGCTCCAGAGCTGCCAAGAGAGGTGATATACTGGAGTGAGGCATTGGAAACTCATTTGAAAGGGCCACCAAAGAACTTTTAGACTGGGAATTACGATCAAAGTCATTTTGACCCTGAGCTGAGTGTGAAAAAGGAGCAATTTGGGACAGAATCTAGAAGCATAGTTATAGGAGTCTTTAGGGTTCTTCAGCATTTGGGACCCTGGGTGATTTCACCTGTTTCAGGCAATGCACCTGAAATACTAAGAGGTGTATGAGATAGAGATATGTGAGAGTGGGGAGGGGAAAATGCAAGTGTTCAGTCAGTTTGTGTCTGTCCATATGTGAAGACGGGCCTGCGATTCCAGCACATGGGGGAAAGGGTTTTGAGGAAACAAAAAGCACTGTATTTCTCCCAGGGAGGTAAAGAAATACTCTGCTACTTGCTAGATTCTGTGGGAGTTTGCCATCAAATGTATTTTGTCTGATGACAAAAGCATATCGATAGAGATTGATAGAACTTTAAAGCAAAACGCACTAGTTTGGGAGCAGCTGGGTGGAAAGGAGAAGTGCTGTCATGCATGAGGCTGAATCAACTCCTGCAGTGTACAGGATGGCCTCAGGCTTTCCCTCTTCCATGCACAGCAGTGGAAGCACACTGTGGGCAGTATCTTTCCTCTGAGGTGCTGGAGTGCTACCAGCAGGGCAGGACCCCAACACACCAGCCTAGGGAGATCTGTTGTTCAGCTTGAGGAGGAAAGTAGGACCCTAGTGGTGCAGAGTTTAGAAGGGTCAGTCCAAGTCCTGATCATTTTGGATGTGGGACATACCTTGGAAGCCAGATGTGATGCAGTGCTGAGCCCATTCCACCTTTTTCTCACCCATTTGTTTCAGGACACTTAGGTTCTGTGAAGGCAAGTGATCTCCAGGTTAGATTGACTGCCACTGGCTGGATCTTACAGAGGAGAGGGGAGGTGAGGACGTGCCAAGCCTGAATCCCCAGCCTGAGTTCGGCCTGCTGGGTCAGCCCTGACCTCACCCTCAGTGAGCCACGCACCCTGCTGTATCTCTCTCCTGGCACTATCCTTTTGTAACAACTGCCCGGGTATCCCTTTGCCTCTGCCCTTTCGGTTATTCAGTTGTCTTCCTAAAACGTATTAGATCCTGCAGTGAAACTGCATGGGTTCAGCTGTTTCTGGAAAGAACCCTGGAGTACTATAGGGTTTTCTTTGTAGGAAATACTGTATTGTTGCCATTGGCAGATCAGGAAGGGGCTAAGCAGAGATTTCATTTGCTAACACATGGTCTTAAGGTCTGCTGCTCTATTGGCTGGCAGCAATTTAAAGAGACTGAGCTTTTCAGAGACACAGACTCCTGGAAACCCATCCTGGTTTTTCATTTGCATGTATATGACAAGGCAATACCTGGAGTGGCTGAATGCCGGAAGCAATGTGATCTGCTATCATTCTGACTTGGGCTCTCTTCTTCGGATCTTGGGGCAGGAGCCTGGGGCTAGGACGGGTGTCTTCTAGGTAATGAATTATAGCTAGCTGTAATGAACAAAATATAAGGGGAGGTATTGGAGAGGCAAGGAGAAGTTCACATCCTGAACACATGGAAAGGGAAGCTGATCCAAAAGAATACAATAGCTTCTGAATAAAGTTTGTTACCAATCCAAGCAACAGAATATCCCCTTCGATGTCTACTTGTGACCTTGTCACTTAGCCCAGCTGTAATTTCAGGCAAACCCTGGCATAGCCATCTGACGTGGTTTAGCCCCAGCTGGTAGCTAAGTGCCACGCTCGCTCATCGCTCACCCCTCCCCGGCGGGCTGGGGAGGAGAACGGAAAAACAACGGCAAAGCCTGGAGGGTTGGGATAAGGGCAGGTTACTGGGACAGCAAGGGAGAGGGGAACTATCAAGGACAGTGCTGGTAACAGAGAGTAACAATGGGTGATAGCAGAGAACGATTTTACCGATCCGACAACCGACCGGATGCTCAGCCCGTCCTGGAGCCACGCCGAGCCTGCCCCTGCCCGACTGGCCCCCTTTTATGGTGAGCATGACCTCACATGGTATGGAATAGCTCCTTGTGAAATTAACTCTATCCTTGCCAGAACCAGGACACCATCTAAGTCAGACTACAAACTGCGCCATGAAAGGTGGAGTTACGAACCAAAGCTGAACTGAGCTTAAAACCTTGACAGCAGTTTCCCAGCAGAGGCTATGTGCTATGTCTGTGCCCAAGTGGGATTGTTTATCACAAATGCCACCTCTTTGCCAATGCACAGATGAGAGTTTTAGGCAAAGAAATGGGGCAAAGCCATCTCCTCCAGACTGGCGGCAGGCTGGAGGGAATGGTTAACAGGGATGTGGCTGGTAACTTACTGACTGAGAAAGGGTGATCCCATCAATTTTCAAGGCTGGGACTTGCTGCATTGGATTCACTGCCTTGAACTCAGCAGAAAACTGTGGAAACAAACCTGAGATTACTGCACCAAGAAATTCTTCCTTGTTTTCTTCCCCTAGAACCCAATTACCAAATTATTTTACTTTTTTAACCTGGTTTTTCCCTCTACCTCAGTAGTAATATTTGCAGTAAGTTATGCTGTACTATTAGCCTACAGCAAGCTCTCACTGGGGCTCAGGGATCACTGCATCCAAGGCAAGATTGCCTTACTTCCTGATAAACCATCAATACAAAGCCCAGGATGGGTAGTATTGCAGCAGTGCCATTATTACCGTTCTAGTCTTAGCCCATACTGGCACATCGAGCCGGTGGTACTATTAGGTGCATGACTCCCAGCTAAGGCTTCCCAAATAAATTCTCAGTGAAGGTGTCTTCTGACAACCCACCCTTTCCTTTGACAGGCCCTTTGCAGCCCCTTACTGCATCATTTAGCATCTTTCAGACACCCCACCACCACACACTTTCTGGTGTTAACTGAGTCAGGTCAAGTCTGTGTTTAAACTGCAGTGCAACTTCCCTGAGGTCTATGTGCCAGATATGTTCAGTTATATCATGCTAAGCAGGAGCAAAAAGATCTTCAGCCTTATGAAATTCAGTCACAGATATTTAAGAGAGACCTTTATTCTCCTGCAGTCATCTCTCTTTATCCTACATGCCAGGGAATACTGGTTTAAATTACAGAGAAGCAGTGAGGAATTCAGTGATTCTGAACTTTCTAGAAGTGATCCCAATTCTCCTAATGATCCCCAAGTTCAGTACCCCCAGAGAGAGCAATGGTAGCTGTATCTTTACCTGCTGTCCCCCATCCTTCAGGAGGCTCACTGGCACCAAGTCGTATGCAATCCCTTTCAGAGCCAGTGCTAGAGAGAACAGAGGGTACAGCTTCAGACAGGCACACTGAGATCAGTTTCATTGGTAATGGGCTCAGGGAAATGTTACCATCTCCATTTGAAAAAGAATGGCTTTAAAACCAAAAAAGACCCTATCCCTCAAGAAGGGTGGCCTGAGTCCACCGAGACGATAGTGTTCTGGCAAAATAAGGACCAAAGTACTAAAGATCAGTCCTGGCAAAAACACTGTATTATTCAAAATAAGCTTTGCCACTCTTTGCAGCACAGCCCCCTCCTGAGGGGGCTTATACAGGGCAGAGGGGCCTGTGATCACCTGCAAATCCTTGCTTAAGGCTGTCTCAGCCCAAGTAGGGACCATTCCCAGCCCTGCTTAGCTCTCAAGAACTGGGCAGACCAGAGTCTGAGGAGTATCACTGTGAAAACAGGGTAGGGCCCTTCTACATAATGTGGAAGAAGCAGCCATCTGCATCATGTTAGCTTTACAAAAGGGGTAATTCCCTCTAACTAGCTGCAGGCTGAGTGAAGTTCTCCTCCGTTCCTCTCCCTTCCTCCTGCTCTGGGTAGGCTGTGGTATTCCCTTCCCTCCTACTCCAGAGGAGAGGGGGGGAAATGCCTCACTGTTCTAGGATCATGTTTGCTGATCTCTCTCTTAATAAGTGACTGATTAATTTCATTAGTGAAGGAGAGGATACTGCAATAACACCAAGAGAATAAAACAGAGATCAACATGGGATCTTACCAATTCTCACTCTCCAAGAGCAGGAACTTCGGAAATAGCTGTAAAGTATCGGCTGAGAAGAGAAAGACAGATAAATCGGTTATATGGTGGGAACACCAAGGTATTTTAAAGAGAACAATGCATGAACAGAAGGCATTTAAGGAACTGTAAGATAGGGCAGAGCAAGGTTTGGGGGAGAGAGCACTCCTTTCCAAAAGTGACTGTTCCTGTTTTGGGCGTACAGGTAGCGTCACTGTCATTCATGCTGGCCCTCTGAATATTTAATTGCATCTGATGTTTCCAGTGATGCACGAATGACCTTAAATTTATCCCCTACAATGCTTCCCTCTTTGTCTCTATCAGATGTTGCTAACTTTTATCCCATCCTGGATTTTTAAAGCAAATTCCCCACTGATTATGCCAAGAACCTGCACTGGGTGTTTGCATGGCATGAAATGGCTTTTACAGCCACGCAGGGCAGGGCAAAGCCTCTTTCCCAATGAGAAGAGCTACTGCTGCTCCAGATGAATGCGAAGAGGGCAGACAACTCATCTCTACGTGAACTCCAGCACTGAGGCAGCTTTCATGGACCCTTCCACCCTATCCAAGCTCTCACCTTTTCAGATGCCATGGTCAGTGTATGCAATCTGCTCCAGGAAATAAAAGCAACCTCTTTGCTTTCCCTTTTAACTCGGCTGGGATGGGGGGAAGGCTTCTCTCCTAAAGCCAATTAGAAAAGGACTATGCCCCCAAATCTGTCCCCAGGCCATGAAAACCAGCCAGTCAGATTCAATCCTGAGTGACTACAGTTAGCTGCGTCCACATCCCTGTTTGCTGTGCTGCAGCCCTGGCCCTGATACCAGAACAGTTGACCAGCTTTGAGGTTGGAAGCTCCATTTAGGAGCCATCCTTATTGCCCTAGCTTCCTGTCCAGAAATAAAGAAGATATCTAGAGAGCTTGTCAGGCTCTCAGCAGTTGCTAATGCAGAAAGATAGCCCTGGGGAACAAAACAAGGAAATTGAAGCCACGTGCAGAATTTCTGTTTCGCTAGGGAACGACTGCCAGCTCCCTGAACAGGGCTCCCTTCGTGGGGAGGTCCCTCAGGGTCCTCTTGTAGCCCTTCTCAGTGCTGAGGGTTTTCTACATTGCATGCCTGGGAGAGGCTGCTACTCTGCTCCCAGGCCAGCTTTGTGCAAAATATGAAGCTCGCTTTTTTGTGTTACGGTCTTTTCTTTCCACACAGGAAATTGGTACTCATGCATGTCTCTAAATAAGCCTGTAATCATGTCTCTCCTTCCTTCCATAGATCCCATGGCATGCCAGGATGTGTCTCCACCCTCCCAAAATGCATAGAAATTATACCAGACTGACAACAGCAAGGCAGAAAAAAACAGGCATTTGCTCACTGACACACAATCTGTCAACAGAAAACCAAAGAGACCCTGAGGATCTCTGTGCTCCAGTCCTCTTTGTAAACTCGATTCTTCTCTTACAGTTTAGATTGGTTCAGATAACTTTAAATGAGATATGCATTTGATTAAATTACTCTAGTCAAAGTTTACTGGAGGAATGGTTTATAAGTGAGGAGGGAAGTGATGGCAGTATTGGCAACACTTTTGCGAACAAAGTATTTACTGATTTTCTTAAATTCTCTGCTCCTGGAATCAGGGCATTAGAAATCTCAGCTGTGCTTTTTTCAAATGTCCAGCCTGCTGG